TAATTATGAGCTTCCTGTCCGTGAATGCATGTGTTTCGAAAGATGAGAGGCAAACAGGAAAAGATTGATCGAAATCGAAGCATGCGGGAAGTGGTTACGAGAAATCGTTGCCGATCGTAACGAGGCCATTGCCGGTGTATTTTCTCGGTTATCTAGGAAACGGTTTCGTCCGTTCATGGCTAGCTTTTTTATCTTTCTTTCCAGTCGCGTGGGCTACATAACAATCTCGACATGACAACTAACTCGAGGACGATGATCTTGAATGAAAAATTTATACATAGATTGAAAATTGTTTTTATTATATCCCCCTGTCGATTTATAGTTTGTTTTGAAAGATAAACATTGGGCAAATCGATTCAATACTTTGGTACATATTTTCTTGCGAGATCATATCAGCGTATAAGCTGGCTGAAAATTTTTTATTTCGAGATTGTCATTAAATCCCTCAATTTTATATTTTAGAAAAAGAAACTAGAACTTTCAACTGTATATTTAAAAAACAAGAAAATATTTATTTCTACATTAAAAAAAAATATAATTTAAATTTTCAATTATACAGATGGATGTTACCTATATAATTCTAAATTTTACACGATATTATCAATATTATTCTCAATTTCATACGAAAACTTATTTCTCTCGTATTGTGGTCTTGACTATAGATACACAGAACAAAAAACTCGCTAGCATTACAATTTACGATTTTTTTTCGGTCCTCAAATTTATTGCCATAATAACAAGAAATCAAAATTAAATATACGATGTACGTTATGGTTGAGGTCGGTGTTTCCAGGACAATAACAAATCACGTTAATTAATCGTTGCTTGCTCATACTCGGTAATAAAAGCAGATGGCGTAGGTAGTGGATTCAGCCGCAAATAATCGAACACGTTCGCGTTTCAAGCACGAACCATAATGAATTTATTATTTATACTTCGACCGGGTTGTATTTCTTCTGTCTCAACTCGCATTCCGATAAGAAACAGTTTGAGGCTGCGTGCACGCATTTCCTGCACCTGTCGTATATGCAACACGTTGACCATGGACATGGATACGTAAAATGACGCACATATCTCAACGCATCGATTGATTCTTGCATAATTGGATAGCAATGATGATTTTTTTTTTTTTTAAGTGTGCTTTTCATTTTGAGACAGTGAAATACTACTCGGGTTACGCGCCATTTGGAACTTGATCCTCTACTGCGTACATTTTATGATCTACAGTATCGAAAAGTTATTTAGTTACTTATTCACTTATGGATCAATTAGAACTTAAACGAAAGAATAAGTCTGAGTAAAAAATAAAATAATATTTCTTTTATTGTAAACCTTCGATCAAAAATAAATGTATCGACCTCTGGAGTAGAGTTCAAGTATTTAGCATTCTAAACAATATGAAATTGAACTTTATGCCTGTAGTGAACTATTACAGGTATTCAATTTTCCATTAGCAGAATTTTACTTTAATTTAAATGTGTCTTAATTTATATCGAGGCCATTGATACGAAATAAATTTCAAATCAATGTATCGATATTTTCATTTCAATTTGTTTGGCATTTCGAAGTAGAAAAATATTCTTGCACGGTGCATTTCCGTGCCACGGTTAACAGAATTATGTTAATATTCTTCGCGCGTCCGCGAACGTTGCCTCTTTTAGACCCGCCTGTCATTGTGCGCATTCGAATGTAAATTGCTTTGACTAATATGCTCGCCAGACTATCTCGGGACTTTTAACAATCACTGGTGACGTAGCCTTTAGTGAAAAATAAACTTGTTTCATGGAAGGAACTGAACGTTACAATAGTTACTGTACTCGAAAAGTAACAGTGTCTTTGGTATAACAATGTACGAAAGTAAGGGAATATTGGTATTTTATTTGATTTATACAAATGTCATATATCAGTAAAATCTAAAATAAATGATTATGCATATAACGATGTTAACAAAATAACGGTACAACAATTTTTTAAAATTATAACCAAAGGGTGGTAAAATCAATAGAATCACAAAATCCTTCTTTATTAGAACAATTGTGTCTTTATATCAGATATAAGATGATGAAGTTCAACAGAGAAAAGAATAAATAATAAACATACAATTCATCCTTAATCTGTAATATCAAGTTAAATCAATAACGAATTCAGTTTATTCCTGAAAATTGCTCGAACAAACGTAGAATGACTAATAAACGTTGTATTAAAAAAAGGCTTATTTCCAACTAATTATAAGCTGTACTTATACCTACACCAAAACAAAAAAAAGAAAACGAAATGTTTTAACTTTCCTCAGACAGTGAACTATACCTTTTTCCACGTAATCGCAGTTCACTGTCAATTAATTGCATACATTACGGTGAATGATACCGAATGCACTTTCACACTTATTGTGAATGCAAGCCGTTGCATGCAATCGTGAGAAACGTTCCTATGCACGACCATAGACGACTAATTATTTTTCTAACGCTTTTAATTGGATGCAATCGAACGTTTAATCGTTTCTACGCGAAAATCCGCGGTTCGGTGAAATATTTATCCGCCCAGCTCACGATTGAAACGTTCATTTGCGATTCGCGATTAGCCACGCGATTATGCTCGCGGTTTGTTTTAATTAATCCTCGAAGATGCGTTCTCTGAAAATAAAATCGTTGAACGACCTTCCACGATGAGTCTTTTCATTCCTTGAATGATAATGAGCGAATTTCCTTAATAATGCGTTCACGTTAGCGCCTAGTCTGTGCTCTAATTTGCATTAACCGTTGGCTCGTGTGCCCGTTAGTAAATCATTAATTTCAGTGTCGACTGTGAAACGGTTTCACTTGAAAATAGAACGTCGTGCTCAACGATGCGAATTTTATACAATGTTATTAATTATAGGAAAATGAATGACGCGGATGTGATTATGTGTTACGCGGGCAATCAAATCTTGCGCAACATTTAACTGTTTATTTATTTATTTATATATTTATTTATTTATTTATTTATTTTGCTTTTTTCGTTTGTCTAAGGCAGGTAGCTTCCTTCCTGGATATTATGCGAAGTCTTTAATTAGAAACCACGTTCCAACCAGTTTATATGAAGCTGTCTTTACGTATTTACATATCAATTTTAATTAAGATGGGAGAAAGTACAGAATTTCAATGTAGAATAGAGGATTTTAATATAAAATTCAGAAAAATAATATTTATGTAAATATTTTAATACCACGCAGATAATTGACAATTTTTAGATTAAAAATTCTTCGATGAAATATCTATAGAATATGATTAAATACAATTGCATTATTATTACAAGGGAACTAACTATTTATAGATAGGGAGAACTCACGCTTAATTATTGTGTAAATTTAGTCCAGTACAAGTGTAATCTCATGTTTTTTCGTCGAATGCAGCCGTATTCCTCGTTAATACGTGAAGCCTTTAATTAGAAACGATGTTTCAGCCTTCTTACATGGAGCCCTTTCCAGATATTTACATATTAATAGTAACTGAAAGGGTGGGGAATGTTTGTACAAACATAGATGGAGAGATAAAAAGAACGGTAAAGATTAGAAGTTAGTATACCGTGAAATAGAAAGATGACCCGAAGTGATTAAGTATATTTTAAAGCAAGTAAAGTGTACTTGAAAAAATACTTACTTATTATTATAATTATATTTTCATATTTCCAATAGCTTTACACCAATGGAAATAATTTTCTACATTTTCCTTCTAATTTTGTACTAATTCTATCCTGAAGCTTTCATAATGTCGTCGTAGCACTTCTCAAAATATTTATCGTTTCTCATTTTATAGAACCAAACATTTTCCTAGTTTTTACAGAGGTTCAAAAAATCTCTCGGTCAAAGCCTTTAATAAAAAATTTTACCGATTTTATAACAAGCAGCATACGGAATTATTATTATAAAATAGTACGCGACACCGTAGTTAACACAGTTGTCTAGTGGCATCGACTATTGTTTACTTGAGTACGATTCGTAATGGCTAGTACGGTGTTATCGCGAGAGTAAAATAATAACAGAGTCGAAATGTAAGAGTAATTTTAACTGGCGGACAATATCTTAATGCACGGAAGCATGATACGTTATCAACCGAAGAACTGCAGCAACCCAAATGGACAAGATATAATACGAGCGAAAACTTTTACTCCACTCGTCCTCTCACTGCGATTCAATTTCCTTGGTAATCGTAAACTTGCATAGAAATCATATATTCCAATTTCTCTATACTTTCACGGCAACTTGATAGTTTCCCCTGTGTGAGGCCCCATTTTCCAGGTCGAAGGGCAACTCTCTTCCAAACCGTGACCTTAATCGAGCAATATCGTCCTACTTACGAATATTTACTTCTTTAAGGAAAGCACTGTACGTGCCTTGTAATCAGAGATGGGCACAATTATTGTGTAGATAAAAACATCGAATAATGACTAAGAAATCGAGGATTTCTTTATTCGTTATTTTTTTCTTTTCTAGTAGAAATTGCAATTAGAACTATCCAATGAAATGTTGTACAGTTCACTTAAATAAGCATTACGAATAAATTGCTACTCTATGGTTTTATTCGGTATCACTTCTTTAGTTTGTTGGTGTAGTAGCAAAATTAGATAATATATTTAGAAAATTGTCGTTTGCATTGATACTTTCTACTTTTTTCTAGTTTTTTTTTTTTTAAATTACTTGGATTACTGGGACAGTTACCATATTTGTCAGTGAAACACTCGTAACCTCTCTCTTTTACCACAATTTAAGATAATTGAAACCGCCGAGGTCATTAGTATTGTACGTAATTATCCAAGTTTCTTTATAAAATTATATCTTTTGGTTACCTTGATAAAGTTTTAGCATGTAATTCATGAAATTGGTAGATTCGTACAGATATAATTATATCTTACGTCAATGTACCTTCGAAGGGCACCTATCAAGCTTGGAAATAAGTTAGTATACTAGTTACTTGTATTAAAATTATTAGCAGAGATTGTTCATAAAATGAGATTAGCCCAAATTTAATGTAACTTCCGAATATAGTTTTATTTAAAACAACATGTATAATTATTCTATGCAACTAATATAAACATACAATATTGATCAAAAAGATGGCTACAAATAAGAAGCATGCTCGTTATTACTAGACTACGAATTCTGGTTTATGCCAATTCAGATATAGAATTGAGATTTAAATGAAATCTTATCTTTTAAACAGTGTAGCATATGTTCTATTCTTAATATTTTATATATTTTTGGATTTATGCACATCTTCATACATTTTCCCATATTTTCACTAACCATAAATACATAAATATCCTCAGTCTAGTTAGTATATTCTTTATAAATTTCAGAAAGGGACAATTGTTTAGATAGATGTTCAAAAATGATTTGTTCGTTCATCAACAACATCGCCATGTCACGTGACGCATGCAAAGTTACCTTTTTGCGATTCAATGAGGGTGATTTCGATCCCGACGTTCAGGAGCGTTAAGGTCGACCTCGAAAGTGTGAAAAGGCGATGTTCCACCATTGTTGAGTAAGAACACAAGTAGCAACCTTCGAAACTGTTGTAAAATTCAAAAAGAGGGAAAGTGGAATGTACGCGACTTAGTCACCCAGACAAATTACTGCACGGTAGTGCCAGGACTCGTGCAACGAGATCGATCAAGGACACACTGTTGCAACTTGACTAAGATCGTTAACCCTCTCTTCGTACTGCCTGATCATAGAGCCTTTATTAGGGCTGGAACTTGTTTAATTTTTCTGTACTCAAACAGTACTCGAATAACCGCGTCATTCATCGTCATTTAATGTCATGGTATATTTTTTTATTAAATCAATTATTTGCTCTCATCGAATGTACTCAAACCGAAGCAATGTTTACCTGAAAACCCCTAAAAGGCATCGTCGTCGTAAATAACGATAATTTTTGTACAAAAGTAAACGTAAGTATCAGTATCCCTCAAGATGTTAAGCATAGAACAAATGGGTTAGTTCAAGGTCAAGTTTATATGTTTAGTGGTTTCAAATTAAAACACTAAAGCTTCTAGTGTCAAATACGATCGGTAGAATCCAGCACTCCGTCCTACCTAGCCACGTAGGGCTAATCATAGTCTTCAAGGCCACGTGTAGGTGTCCCCGCAAGTCGCTTCGTCTTCCAAGGTCAGGGGACAGTACTCGTCCGCGGTGACTCTCTTCAGGTCCCCCAAATCCAGCTTCGGTTTGAACGGCAATTCCGAAACCAAAATTCCCTCCAACCGTTCCTTCTCGGTCGCGTCTTCCTCGAATTCCCAGAAGTCATCGTCCGAGACGTCATTGTTCGCGACTGAGACGAAATCCTCCTCGGTGAGCGTGATGGTCCTCACCTTTCTCGATCTTGGTGCACGCTTGTCCCGCGACATGTCCCTAGAACCGGCCCTCTTATCGTACCTGGCCCTCTTCCTGGGCCTCTTAGACACCGTAGAGACCGATGGACGTTCGTCGTTCCTCTTCTCTTGTTCGAGGTCACGGTCGTCGTGATTAACGGGTCGTCGAGATTCTTGTTCGCCGTCGCTCGACTTCCTACTTTCCAGCTCCGATTCCGCGACGGTTGCCAGGAATGCATTTTTATCGGTGGTTTCCCCTTCGTTTTCACTAGTGCCACCTGTCATCTCCTCCTTCCTCTCCGGTTCGGCGATCGCTGGATCGTTTTCTGCAGCTACGACCGCGTCGACGTTCGCCACGGAGAGTTCGTCCAAGTCCCGCGACGGCTCTACCGTCGCCTCGGGTGGTAAGGTAGTTGCGACGGGATCGGTTTTACCGACAGAGGCACTGTGCACGTCGGACTTCATCCGTGGATTCTTGCGGTACTCCTCCTCCAAGTAGCTGCGGAATTGGTCCCTGAAGTAGCTGTCGATCAATTTCCACACGCTGGTGCTGTACCAGGTGAGTATGCCGATGAGGAACACCCCTCGAAAGAGCAACCCCAGCATGATTGTCCAGTTGAGCAGTTTCAATCGACGTGCGTTTAGTCTTTGGCAATCCTGAAGATGGTATTCTACGCTTGTACAATTAACACTTCGACTACCACTGGATGCTTATTTAAAACGAAATGGAGTGGTTCAATTGATTTGAGTGAATCGATTGAATCCGCAGGAAAGATTTTATGAATCCACGTGGTAGTCAATGTGGTAATGTATTATTCTGACGTGTTGAAAAGAAGTTAACAATAAAGTTACAAAATTGGAGTATTTGTGAAGGAATGTTTTAAAATTCCAAAGAGTTTATGAATAATTTCCGTTGCTCCAAGCCTTTCAGAATTTATGTCATACAGATTTTATAGTACACTCGATACCCCGCTGAAGGTAACACAAACATTTCTGTATCTACTCTCTTTGAAGTTGAGCCATGTTACTCGTTACACGACTACTAGGTGTATGTCTAGAATTTACACCGTCAAGGAGCCAGGAATAATTTACAGCAGGTACCATGTCGCAGGCATCGAATCTTTTTGAAAGTATTTTATTTACTGTATCCTTTCTATCTCGTGCAATTTCTTTTTCTTAATCTGGTATCGAGTCTTCAATTTTCGTGGAGTCGAACTCGGACCTTCTTTCACTTGTTCCCAGCAGTGTTCATTCTTTAGTCTAGAAAGATATGTTCGATGGGACTAACACGTGAATTTAGGTTGTTTCACTTACTATCGGTTGCACCCGACTTCTAGATTAAATAGTTTTTATAGCACTCACAGATGCACTTAGATCTTGTTTCATTTACTTACAGTTGCGTTGATCCTCTACACTAAAAAGTCAGTTTTAATAGCACTAACAGATGAAGTTAAATCTTGATCCCCTTGCTACCAGATGAATCCATTTTTATAGACCAAAAGCTTATTTTTAATAGCATTAATAAATAAATTTAGATCTTGATGTATTACCAATTGTGCTCATTTTCTAGGCTGAATAACTGTCTTATTTGCTACCAATTGCGTTTATTCTTCCTCGTAAAAATAGTCTTTGACAACAGCAATAGCTTCTTGCATTTTTGGCCATCCCATAGTCACGAAGACTAAAACCGAATTGGCGATGACGAAGAGTCGCATCATTTCAATGCCATCGCTGGATCTCAGCCACTCGCTGAATCCTTGGTTGTGGGTGTCATCGTTCAAAGCTATCTCTTGCTCGGCATTTTTCTCGTTCTTTTTATCTTCTGCAGGTTTCGTTTCGTTTTGTCGACCTTTCCCAGCCCTGTTCTCGTGATTGCCGCGTTTCTTCATTGCTTCTGCGTGGGACTCATCTGAAAATTGTTTCGATTCCGTAGTTTCCCTTCAAACACGCTGAGAATCGCGTAGGAGTCTGAAAATTTCAAAGTTATCGATTTCATTGCTATTATTAATGGTATATTTTTAAACGATTACTTCTCATTTTTAATATCAGATATTCAGCTTAATTAGGACCCGCAGGGACAAGTCCAATTGTTCAAAACGAATAGTAAACAAGAAAAAGGTTTATAGCGTTTTTCAGTGCGTGTAAGTGAATGCTTCTATGTATTCAGATGAACTCGAAGCTACTTCAGATATCTTTCATGGCTTCTCCATTATCCTATTACTATATTACTTACCAGCATTAAGGTTAACATATTTTGTAATAGAGTTCCTTCACTTCTAGAGACAATACAGTTGCATTATTTCATCTGGCAATGCTTTTAGTGATGTAAAACGTTTGTCATTTCATTATTGTCCAAGAAAAAATTGTTAAATAATCATATCGAATTTTAAACTTCCGTTTCCTCCTTCGCATTTATTCCTTCTATTATTCTCCTCGCGTAATCCGTTCATTTTATTATTTGATTCACATTTTCGTATCTGAAACAGAAATGAAATGTTTCTTTCATTCCACTCGCAACACGTTCCAGCATCGATCCAATGAGAATAAATCGGTTGTCTCAACGTAATAAAGAGTTTCTTACAAGAAGCTTTAGGATTTCTTCTTTTAATAAAACAATTTTTTATTTGAAATGAAAGTGTGTATTATTACTCTAAAATCGTAAAAGATGATGTGTTTTAAGTGTCCATCACGTATTTGTTATTAAAGCCGGAAAGCCACAAGGGTCTCTTAGGACACTCTTTATAATTCGAATGTACCCCGAGTTACAATGAAATATTCATTGTCATGGCGTTCCTGGCATAATAGATTTATGCGAAATAGACCGAATTCGAGTCCTATCACGTTTACCTTAGTCTAGGGTCTAGAGGCCAAGTGATGTCAAGTGATCCGCGTGCATTAACCAGCATGCAGCAGTGACAGAGGCATATTTCACAGATTCCTGCACGTTGAAATAATACGAGTGCTCGAGCGGGTGCGATGACCGTGATCCAACGCACATGCATGATTCGTTTGTCCGTGCACAATGGTGTGTGTTAAACGCGGCTTTCAAACGTGAGGTTTTAAGGCAAGAAAGGTTTCAGGACAAGTATCGGAAAATGTAGAATATGTAGAATATGCCTATATACCTACATTCTACATTCACGCTTTTCAGTATGAAATAAATCATTAGTCATAATAAGTCATTATGGAATAAATCTTCAAATTCTTGAAAAACAGAGACAAACACTTTAATTAGAAAATGAGAATTATTTTTAGAAATTAAGTAAAACATTTATCACAATTATATGATGGTTACAAGTAGTGATAATTAATATTTCTAGTAATATTGTGAAAGGTGGAATAGAAAGTATCATGACACGATAGCCTCAGATATAATATAATAGTATAATTAATCCTTTCTCTCGGTTTAGTCTTTTCCCGAAAACTTGGACCGTCCTATCGAGTTCCTAATTACCGAAGTTTGTTCTTCCATTATTTCTGGTGAAACTCGCATAATGTAAGGCGGAACTCCAATCGCCACTGGCAAAAATAGTTAGCTGTTAACTAGGAGACAATTACAGGACTCTAAATCGGTACAGTACTCTTTAGCCTTCTTTGTTCTTATTGTCTCGTGAAGAGATGTGCAAAATTCCGATGTAGATGTCTACCGAAATTTACCAACGAAATAGAATGAAGGTCTGTCAAGCATTAATCAACAAATTAAGTAACTTGATCTGTATATCAAAATCACGTTAGCATACGAATAAAGAAAAATATATTTCTCCTAATTTGTACTAAATTTTATTTATGAAACACAATCAAGGTCTGCTCAATATTAATCACAAAAGTAAACAAGTATCATCAGTAGACTGCAAATGTTTATGCACTTATGACAAATGAAAATATGAGGATATCTATGAGAAAAAGCACGAATCCAAAATATTTAAATATCCACAAAAATATACACGTCATACCGTTTAGAAGATAAAACCTTTCATTTAAGTTTCAATTCTTTTCCTGTATATGTGAGAATGTGAATTTGCATAAACATCCGCAGTTTATTCATCACTTGCTCGAATCTTGTTCGCACTCACAATAAAATCTGAATTTGTCTAATTTAAATTTCATATAGATGTCTTCACCGATTAACACAGTTATAAAGTGTTTTATCTTCACTTTTTCATAGGCGCTCGACGGGCATTGTGAAGTTCACCGAAACTAAATTACGTGAGCGCGGAGTTTCCTTCTCGATAGAACTCACCGCGATGAATCGGTGTTCCGTCGATCACGGTACAAGTTTAGCGAATCACGATTCGGCACCAAGTTTCCAGCGGGGGGAGAGCTTTCCAGGGAGAGCTTTTCGGTCCTTCGAGTTCACGTAACGTTAGCGCACGAAACGATTGTCTTCGACTGTTTGCCAGCTTTTTCCCCTCTACGTTCCCGTTGAATCTCGTTGATAGGGCTTCTTGAATTAGTAAGCTCATTACGGAACTGTCTTCGTTCCGTTAAGGGTTCTCGGAAGCTCGCACGGATGGCGTCTCGAAAAGAAACCTCTGACGTTTGCATCTCGTAATATAGCGAGTTTGAATGAGCAACGAAATCGAACTGTTGAGGACAGTTCGTCCGTGGCCTCTCCAATAGTATCGTTTCGAATTGGATCGATCAAGAAAATTCCAGTGCAAAATCGTTGCGAGAAAGTTTGGTAGCTCCCTCGAGGAGCGTGGAGTTCGATATTTAGCAAGTATGAAAATCTATTTGCAAACAGTATTTATTTGAAGAAAGAATTCTTCGTATAAATTATACATTAATTTGAATCTAATCTTGTGACTTTTATTTTCTGCTAAGTATTTCTTGCTTTATTACAGTTCTGGTCGTTATGAGCTTTAATTAAATACTGGCAAAATTTACTTGGAAGAAGGTACGACATAGTAAACACAGTAGGTGGGTTAGGATATTGATTTTTGGGGGCTCGATATATCTTTTTGAAGACGTTCAGGAATTTAGATTCAGAGATAAAATTTCTTTTAATCTTTTCACCTAATTTGATTCCTCTTAAGATTTACTTAATACTCTTTTTTAAAATTCTTTAAGATAAATTATCCATGAAAATGTTATTAATCAAATTGTACTGGTTCAATACGACATGTACTATAGAAGTGACTTAATACAAATATTTTTTGAAAAGAAATTTCAAAATATAATCAAATACCTTGATTATAATATTACGAAGATTTGTAAGAGAAGTTATTAATTGAATGATATCATATCTGTATTATACTGCGCGTGGCTTGTCTTACGTAACTATCTGACGATAAAAAGAGACGACCTAAACGAGCAGTCTCCATTAAACTACCTCAGGAGGGTTGCTCCTCCTCGTCGTAGAAATTGAATTCTAACATAATTACACCCTGGTTCGTTTCAGCGATGAAGCTGTACAATTCTGAATGCATTTCTCATGAACTCTAAAGACTGCATTCCCGTACAAAGTCCTTCTTATACAAATCACTAGTAGTAGTATGTACTATAATCATGGAATAGTTAATTTTCAAATTTTGTGTGTTGATTCAATTGCTAGGGCATCGTGTTTGAATGATGCGCTTAGATTATGCGATATAGATTGTATTATTTGGAATGGAATTATTTACTACGGAAAATACATTTCACGTTTTGTTATTTAAAAGAATACTCTCCGTCCCGCAGATTTCTTAAACTTAAAATTTTGTAGCAATGCCATATAAATAATTCCTTTCTGAACGAATTATTTGTCCACCTTTTCTTAAATATCTTGAGAAATATCCTGAGACTAACAAAAAGAGTCCTTCGTCTAGAATATCTAGAACGTCTACACTAAATATGCCATTGATATTGAAAGCGACACCCCTCGTTCCTTTGCATAGACCTTCGAAAGGCGTTGCACAGTTTCCATTTTCTTTCATAGACGCCTGCCTTGGAGTTCGCAAAGAGCACAATGCTTGGTCAACAGACGAAAACCGTTCCTTACGGTCAAGGGATACAGTTTGTTGGTCGTTTTGTTAAGGAATATCTAGGTCGCTGGTAACTAATGTGCCTCTTACGAGTGGACGATCTCTTTGGACTCTTGCTGCGAGATATGTGCCTTCGTTCTGTACATATATCTTGTATCTAGTAAGGATTACGGGAGGAAACACTTTTTGGTATAACGAGAAGTGATTGCATGACCCTCACCTATAACGTTCGTCGAGGGTTTAGAAACGGTGAAAAATAGTAGGCGCTATTAAGACACTTGTAGAAGTACATAGACGCTAGTAGAACTGAAAACTGACGTAATTCTAAATGAGGTAATTTCAGATATAAAAAATTGAAGAACATCGCAATTAAAGAAAAATCACTCATCATTAAAAGTGCACGTGTACTATTTTTCAATGAAACGTCAAACAAGAGAAGATTTCGAACTTGAAAATTCGAGATTTATTAATTTCAGATGGTTGTTCTTAATATGAAGTTTTCGAAGAATCAACTCCATACAGATAAAAATATTGTCGTCTACTTTTCTTAGTCACAAATTCATTTTGTCACATTTATAACAAAAAAGTGCTAAGAAAATTATATGATTGAACATTGCATTCTATGTTCGATTCGCACTCGCAGTGTCTCGAAGTTGACCGATGAAAAAAACCACCAATTTTGTTGTAAACTATTCCCATCTTAAAAGCGAATACACGATAAGAAATGAAAACATATGAAGACTTCGAGATGAAATCGTTAAAATCGATACTTTGTACTTGATCCGCTCGGTCCACCGTACGATCGGCTTACGGGGGCGGATACGTTCGTTCTCCCCGTTTGAGGGGTTAAGCGTTAAAGTACAGTTCGCTACCTATCGCGCTCTCAAGTAAACGATCCTTGTAACGTGCGTCTAACTTACGTAACTCATTTCTGCTTTTATGTAATAGTATCTATACATTATCTAACTCGAATCACATTCTTCTATTTCGTTGCAGGTACGTATACGTATACTCCAATTCATACACTGGCTACAACTCAAGCTTAATCGACAGAACTGTACTGAAATCAAATAATCTAGACTACAAAGGGTTAACAACAAAGGGTACGTGTTTCTACTATTATTATAAAACTATTAAACAGATCCATACTTATTTCCCTATCAAAAGAAAAATCGAAGAACAGAAAATTTCAGTAGATAAATACATAGAAACTTACAAAATAGATATAAGAATATAAATAGAAAAAGAATAGTGTATTTATACCATCCAGAAGTTAAATAATAATAAAGTTATGGAATAAATTCTACTTTGCTATAATCGACAAGCTTCTCTGTTAAAAGACCTTCATTGGAACGTACCTATTATGTAAAAGGAAAATTAAGTGCAAATCGTTGTACGTTCCAATGAAGAGCGAACGTGTAAACATGTTGTGTTCGATTTGCCTTTGTAATAGATGTTTCTGGAGCCAATGCATGGGCTTCATGGCTTACGTCAGAAGGGATTGGGATTAGATTACCAGGCATTGAGTGCATATAGAATGGTGTGACCGAATACATTCAATTTGTTTATTAAATTAGTCATGTACGTTTTATTCGAATAATAATTGAGAAATAATCACTGTTATGTATTATCAAGTTTAACAATTCTTATTTAATCGTTAATTTATCACAATTTCCAACTTGGTAATAAAATTCTTCACTATCAAGTTACAAAGTCACCAAGTTTAAAAATGATTGTGTAATACAATTTGTTATTCGTTATCATATTGGACGTTTTATATCGAATTATCTAAATAACACCGAGCCATCCGTGTCAATTACTAATTTTCGATGTTATCCTTTTAATGATATCGATCGTGCGTGGGTGTCTTTACACTCCGTCTCAGGCGACGAAATAACGAGGTCCTTCTTAAACAATACGCAATCGTCGTGCCACCGTTGCCCATCAAATACTCGTAACCGTCGCTACCTGTAATTTCCACGCGAATGTAGGTGTACGAGGCACGAAGAACAATGCAGTCGCGCCACAACAATTAACTCGGCACTCTTAAACGCGAAAGGTGCAAAACTACGGTCGTTTCTTCGCGTCGACGCGCTCAGAGTAATTGCTCTACCGGAAGTGACTTCGACTACGCCGCGAACGAACGTGCAGTTTTACAGGGTGAAATTAAAAGTTGAAGCCGAGGGATATCTGTGGACTGTTTATTATGTTCTTAACGCTGGCTGGGCCTTGAACTCGTGCTTCACTTTCGTTAGCTTGTGTTCTTAACAAGGCGTGTTCTATTTTTTTTTAATTATAATGTATAGAGTGAAGATGTTGGCTGTTATTTAGAATACTATTAGGCGATGCTGTCGTTCGAATAGTAATATTCTAAAGAGTATGAGAAACATTTAGTTGAATTAATTATTTCAGACCTGAATTATTTTTTTCTCGTATCAATGTAATTTAATTTTTATGGTTAACTAATAATGTAGTTTTCCAGGAAAACTGGTCTTTCTTCGTGTGCACAAATAAGGACTAAACGTCCTCAATTATGGACGCCAGGTTTGAAAGGGTTAATGTATAATTAAATTAAGTGAAATTCAACTTTGCTCTATAAAAAAAAATCGATAATTCAAAGCACCCTAAAATATTTCAACACCTACACCTTTCGAAACAACGTTCAATGTCGTTTAAATAAAAATCCTAATCCGAGGGATATAAAAAGCATTTGATACACCCAAATTGAACTCTAATTTTACCGATTTTTCCCCGCAATTTTAATTTGCTCTTTTTTTTTGCAACAGTCATTAACGTCGCGAGCGTGATTGTAAACAGTCGTAAATTAAATTCGGTTTCCCACCGGAATCATTTTGATTTCCCTCCGTTTCGGCAGGATTCTTCTGCGCGGCATTGTTTGCGCATTTGTTATTCATGAAATGCGCTTGCCGTACAAACGATGTATTTATGAATCAGCATTATTTAAGGGAACGTAAAGAGCCGTGGCGACGCGACGCGATGAAAATAGTACCCGCGAAATTTACATTTGTCAGTTGGTCACCTGTTACGCATACAATCGCCTTTGTGCGCGCACGTTGCGTGCGGGGACGTGACTTGTTTGCTGGATCGTTCGGTTGCTCGTTACGCAACGCTAATTACGCACTGTAACAGCTCGTATCGGCAGTTAATTGCAATAATAGTGCGAGCCTAGCCAAATAAATTTCGATCGAAGATATATATTTTGAACGCGAGAAATGGGAAATAACGATTGAAAAAGTGGAGTCACAGTGACCGCGATATGAAAAATATAGAAAATTTAATTGCAATTGGCGGGTGTATATGGGATTTTATTGTAAATTGTTAATTATACGAAATTGTTTCGGCGAGGTAGGTGGAGGCCTCATTGACCTGGCGGAAATGTTCAATAGAGACTATTGAATTGTGTTTAATTGGAAAGGGGCAGATTTATATCGTATTGACCTTTTTATTTTCGGTCCACGTCGGGCGAGTAAAAAGTTTCTCAGTTACGCAAAGTTTTGTTAGTTTTCAACTTTAACTGGAAACTAGGAGACAGTATGTTCTATTAAAAAACTCCATCATGATGAAAACTAAACGGGAATATTCAAATCAGAGAATTCAGGAAGCATAATTACAAGACAGTTTAGATGAGGAACAATGCGATATGTATTTGTTTCAATAATAAAGCCTTAAGTAACTACGGTAGTTTATAATGGAAATACAATTGGGGATTCCCTGTTCCATTTTCAATGGACCAAAGATCGTAAACATCGTCATATTTCGTGGTACAGTATGCATGATCAGCGTGATATATGAAGCGAACGTGGTCTCGAAGTCATCAAGGTTTGCGTAAACAGGGTTAAGATGTTATCTAACCCGTTCAATTAAGTTTAATTCGAGAAGTGCTTATGAATCGTGGTACACTCGACTATTTTACTGCAACAGTCAAAGTTAACGAAGCCCTCGACTGCGGTGCAAGTCGAATGCTGACGCTCGATCCTGGTGAACCGGCGTTGCTTGAATTGATGCAAACAACGGCGAAACTGTTAGGACCGTTCCGCGCACTTATATGGTGGATGTTTCCTGAAAAAGAATGTTCATTTCTATATTAGAAACGTTAAATATCTGCCGATCGCGAATGCGTTAATACTGATTTAATTTTGAATCATAATTCGAACAATTTCAACAACGATTTGAATTAAATCGATAACAAACGTTTGAAAATGGACGATTAATTGGAAGTTGAACATAATAATGAAATAAAACAATTTACCACGAGATACGGATAAGTTCAGGACGCTGGTTTCAACTTCATCTGTCGGGTTATTGAAATCAACCTGTCGACGGAAAACATACTCGCCGTCCAACCTTGGGCCCACTACTATGTCTCCAATGAATCCACGTCCACGTTCTTCGCCTACGCCAAACTGTTTAAAACGAATGTTACATTAAATAGAATTCAGTAAAGTTGCTCTTTATAGAGAAATAATTATATATTCTTCACTTCGCATCAGTTTTTTCACTGTTTATTTATAGTAATTGGTAAACCCACTCGTGAGAATTTTCTGTTTGCTATATCAACACATTGTATAATGGTCATAGGAAATTGTAGACTTTATTACTGTCCAAAAAAAAAACGAAGTCACTTTTTCAGATATTTTGAAACAATTAACCAAATATTACTATAATAAAATTGGTACTGTTGCTAAAATCTTGAACAGCTTACTAAACAATAATTCACGATCAATATTTTTCCTCGCTGATCCTTCAGACCTACGACGACTATCATTCAAACATGATAAACAACACTTTCGCTGAAGCTGACAAACAGTGGTCCTTGTAGTATTTGTTTAGTTTGCTGGTTCACTGTCGAGCCACAACGAGCTCTAATTATCTCGAATACACTGTCATCGAAAAGCCTCTCATTACACTGGTTAAAACTGTTAAAAGACACGCGATCGCTCACCAGTCTCTGCTTGGGCACGGCATCCTTATCGTTGAACTCCAAACGAATGTTCTTGTACTTGGAAACGTCGACGGCAGAAGCGATCTGAAGCAGTGCCAGGTTCACGAGGAGGGCAGCGACAATCGGACGAAACATTTCGTACTGGTTTCACTGTGACTGTGACTGTGACCACCAGAAGGTGCACGTCTCTTTTATAGACTGGCCCGAAAGTCCGTCAAGGTGAACGTGACTTATCTGTACTGTTCTTTTGTGATTTCTCCATTGGCTCCTATCATGCTCTTCCTCGTGGAATACAAATAAGGGAAATGCCCCCGAGTACAATAGCACGTACGTTATTCCACTCACGGCGAAATCGACCCTGGCCGATGAATTTATTTCGTTTAATCGGTCCTACGAAAGTACAGTGACGTATCCAGTCTTATCGAGACCTGACGCTCTGTGACGCAAAAGATTTATCCGGGGAAGACACAAATCAATGGATGTGAATGCGTCACAATTTCTGAGTCGTCGTGTTAGTATTTTCATACCTGACGTCTACAATTCAAGACACAACACACGAAGAAAGACGACCAATTTTCTTCGAAAACTACACTGTTACGATTTTTTTCTTCTTATTTTTTTCCATACTAATTTTAGTCCAAGTTAATCATCCCCCTTTAGGTTGTAACGCGAATTAATCTCTCTCTGATCGCCGTAGCCATTTTCCTCTTTGCGTAGAGGTTCAGGTGCTGTCTGCCAACTTTCCTGGTTGTTCGAAAAACTAGGCTGACTGCTCCGTTAACTTATATCCGAACCCCTTTTCCGGCATCCAGTTCGTTTCACGAAGAACCTTAATAATTGGATTACCGCTTCCCGCGTCGAGAGTAAGCGCTCCAGCTTCGTAATTTCCTCTACTAATTTGATCGTTCATGCTCTCTGTCAATGTCTGGTTGCAATATTTTAGGACAAATCTGTTCGATGCTTCTTGGAACATATTCGTACGTATAGTTCATAATTTGATACTTTGGCAGTGTACTCCGATAACAATTTGTTTTTACAATTCTGTAAATCTGTGTAATATCTACACGAGGGGTTTTTCAAAAGGCGATTTCAGGATTTTATTTTGTAATTGACGTACATGGTGTGGAATATATCTGATTTTTTTATTTTAAATGAAAGTGTACATGAATACAATTAATCGTAAAAAGAATATTGTTTGAGTGTCCAGTGTGACAACGTTGGCAGATATATTTTGGTATCAAAAAATAAAATTGTAAAACCTCCCGAAAACTGGGTAGAATATTCTCACTCCTTTCCAGCTCTTGCTGGGTATATTGACAGTTATTGACAGTTCTTAAACAAGGAAGAATTGAGTCTATTTCTGGTATTCACAGTTGCCCTATTTGTTCACTACCTCGGTCTTAAGATGAAGCTATTTTTGATAGTCACTGATATCCCGTTTATTCGTTACGTTACTATTAAAATAGAATCTCACTCAAATCGTATTTCTATTATACGACCTCGATTTAAATCATCAATTAAATTTAATAATAAAAGAAATTAAATTCTACTTTTATGTGAATGAATAATGGCTCGTAGAATATAATAGAACAAATTTTTTTTTCATTTCACTGTATCGTTGCAAAATTATTGCAAGAAATTTCGTTTGTAAATTTTTTATCAATTTATTTGAATTATTATGGGACACAGCAATTGAACTTTACGAAACGTTCTGAACGTTATTCATTTACATACTTCTTTCGAGACAGTATTCGATTATTGCAGTTATTTAATTTAGTTAATTTTATCTCATTTACGTGAAATATACTCAAGAGCTGACCGTTATTTAAACGCTTCGAGTTCAGTTGTCGTAAAAGTTGCTAACAAGGGCTGTAAAGTTTGCGGGAGACAAATTATTCTCATTTTGTGCCAACCGGGCGGATCCTATTTCCAGCGTTTCTTCGAATTTGCATTTTCCTTGGTATCCGTCACGACGGGGGGTTTGAATCGTTCTTTCCTTCCAACCTAAATTATTACGATACATCTCTCGTGGCCTCACAGCGTTGCTTTTTTACCTGTTTAGAGTGATTATTTAAACACAGAGTAAATAAACCACGTTGTATATGTTTATTACGTTCCTCTCAGTTCTTGGAGCTTGCTGAATTATATTTCTCATTCGTGCTTTCGTTTTTGTCGCGTTTATTGCTATTATTATAACTGTTCATTGTTCAGGATATGTACTTCTTATTAACCACTCCATTCTCGCATCTGACGATGAGTCACAGTACCTTTTTTTAATGGACGTCGTTGTTTCATCGAAAATATAATGGAATTCCAAAGAAAGCTTGTCGAGACCTCTACTTTAAATTAAAGAATAATCTTTGATAAGAAAACATACGTCTGATATTACAATAACAATACAAATTGTTTGGAATTAAATCGTATAGAAATTGGTACCGTGTGCAGGAGGTAGAGAAATATTTCACGTAGATAACTCACGTAATCGTAGTCAGAGGAATGTCGTACAATTCTTGAGAAAACTTACAACCAATGTTACGAAGAATTTGTAAGTTTACATAATACAGAATGTAATCGTAATATGAGCACCGACGTCTCGTTCTGTTTGCAAACATTTGCATGAAACACGTGTCTTTATTGTCAATAACTGATTGTAGTTGACTCGTGTTGTTTCACGTTTCTGTGTGATGTAAGGAAACAATCGCATTACGTACTGAACATAATGTTTTGCTACAAAAAGGAAAATAGTATTTGATTGTATAGATAAGATTTGAATTTTTACGTAAGTCTCCCACTCTCATTGCTTAAATTGTCATTCATTGAGGAATTTTATTAATTTCTATATCAGTTAAATAGTTACGCAAGAAATATTTAATAAGTATTTCTATTATATTCGGTTAGTTTTATTAAATAAACATATTCAAATACCTGTCAATTCATTAAATAGTCCTCTCTTGCACAGACCAAATATATTGGAAAAATTCTTATCGCACCAAAAATGTCTAATGGCGAGCAAAAGATAAACAACCCCTTAATCGTTTGAGTTTGAATTATAGAAACAAATATTTCACGATAGTGAAGATTGAACTGTACACTCGAATGAACGTCACGAATAAATCACCACGTGTTTTTATTTATGGTTTATTATTCGAATAAAATTCTGCACATCTCTGACGTAAATCACAGCCAAGGAAAACGGCCACGAGCAGCCACTTTGATTCGACTATAGCACCAGCACAAATCTCTCTCGGGTCCCCCGCGTGGATACATAGATTATGCGATTGCGTGCATTTAATGACTGCGAAAGCAAGTCGAGTCTGAACTTCCCGCTCGAGCAATTAACCCAGATTTAACGAAGAGAAGAGTCCAGTCAGCTAGTGACGAAATTCGCGGATGTCGTCCGAGCGAAACGACAACAAAGGTAGAGGCAATATCTCGGTTTCCTGGACTCGAGAGAGACAGCCAATTAGTCGAAGTGGCAAGTTAGTTAAACGGGATCGGCAATTCGTTTTAGCTTTTCCTGCTAATTACTCGTTGTCTTCCTCCAGCTTCGCGTATACTTAAACGAGGATACGTTTTAAGGAACGTTCCGTCCACTTTCTAATGAAACTTAATTACTGTTGGTGCGTGTAGCTCGCATAGTGTGTCAGAGATCGATAATTATTTTCCATTCTGTAGGAATGGTAGCGTGAGTTTTCGCACTGTGCTCGTTTTAACATCAACACTACCGAACTGGTTTTTCTGAATTTATAATTAAAAACTATATAATATAATAGATCACTTCACCGAAGAAGATTCGGAGTCAACACCTGACAAATCTAAAATAAGCAAACACAAAAGTCCTTTAAAAATCGTGTTCCAAAAAGTCTGGCCTAAATGCCAAAGAATCGGAGTCAACACCTGACAAATCTAAAATAAGCAAACACAAAAGTCCTTTAAAAATCCTTCACCGTACATAAACGCACAAACAACCCTAAACTTGGATAGTCCGATAGCCATCGACTCGTACATCATGCCGCGAACATCCTCTCCAGGTGTCAGAGAGTTAGGGTTAACACGACCGTTACATTCCCTCTATGGTAACGCTCCCGTAATCCCGATCGATCGATCCCACGTGACTGGATCATTGCCACGCGCTCGTCGAAAGCTCACGCGCGCGAGGATGGAAGGGGGATTTTAAGGAGTTGCAAAATGCTAAGGGACGATCACTAATGGGCGGGGGCGCAACAGTTGCGTGGGTGGATGCGCGTTTGATGAGGGAGTGGAACGGAGAGGTGGAAGGTAGGACGAAAGAGGGATGAGAAGGCATACGTAGAAGGGGGTTGAATCCCTGTACCCGTTGACGTGCCTCAGTACTCATCTAGTATCCACGCGGCGAGCAAGCCCTACCTGCGGAATCTAACCGTGGAAGATCAGTCTCGCGAACGGGCCGCGATCTGGTCGTCCTGGTGATTTTTTAAACAGTTTTGACAGAGACAGGCAGTTCAGTGCACGTCGTCGTGTAAATAATTGAAATCGTGGGAATTATTTTCGCTGAGGCTGCTGACGGTGTTGGTAAAATCAGGAAACGTTGCCTTGGGGCTGCTGATCCACTTTAGATTTCCTTATGGATATATTTTTGTCAAGCTTCTATTTTGCGTACGCTTTTATTTAGTCGTTACGAATTATTTGTGAAATAACTCAGATACAATTGTACAGATTTTTCATGACGCGAGGGATCTACTTTTTGTAAATATCTTAGAAACTGTTGGGTGTACCGCGAAAATTGTTATTATCGGAAATGTAGCTAAGGAAATTTACTATAGGAAAGGTGTGAACTATGGTGCACGCGAACATTGACTTCCGACATGGCGTTGTACACGTGAGCTGTTGACTACACGGGAAAAATACGTAATGCAATTTTTTAGAAAATTTCTTTATCTTCATTTTTGACAACAGATAGTTTCGCAGTAATGTCGATAGTCTCTGAGATATTCACGAAATCTGATCGCTCACATTTTGCTGAATGATGTAAAACATCGGTATAACCGTGGGAAATTTTCTATATTACATTTAAAGACTTAATAGAAGTATGTGCGAAAGGTCTGCTTGAAAAGAATATTTTCATAACGTCCTGTGCACTTTAATTTAGAGTGACTGGACTATATAGAGCGCGGGAAAATGAAATTTTATAGCAATTTCAACTTAGC